CCGTGAGTGCAATAACTCCTTTGCTGATCTTTCCTCAATAACAATTTCATTCCCAGAAGAAAGTAACAAATCAATCGAAGTAACCGGTGCCGCAACGTAAAATGGAATACCATGATACATTGCACATAAAGCAAGGCTATATGTTCCAATTTAGTCAGCAGTGTCACCTGCAATTCAATTCAATGTGTTCGGTTATATTTACTTCATCACAGAATCCAAGTGAAATGCATCATTAACAGCCATGGAGTACCATTTGCAGCCACACGGTCCTCTCCGATAATAACAGCACTGACACGACCTTCTTTCATTAGAGCAGCTGCAGCAGAATCTGCTATTAGAGTAGCAGGTATCTTTTCATGCACCAGCTCGAAAGCCGTGAGTCTGGATCCCTACAGTCCGAGCCAAATATATGAGAGAAAACATAGATTGTGAATAACAGCTTGTAGTAAAGGGGCTTCAATGTAGAGGTGGGTATACGGGCTACCCGCTCGTTTAGTCCGTGAGTTTTGACTGTGCGGGCTTAAACGGAACGGTTTAAAAGTCCGCAATCATAAACGATTTTGAATTTTAAGGCACGCGGCCCGCTAAATAAAAATAATTTTAAATGCTTTAAATGCAATAAAAAATAATGTTCTAACTTGCCACACCTTTAAAAATGATCCAGTAACTTGAAAAGGAAGATAGCACCGTCAAAATAATAAATAATATTTAAATTTTATTTTAAATAGCCGGAAATGATTATAAAATAATATTTTTTTTAAATTTTTTAATCATTAATATATATAACGATATAATTACTTAAACTAAAATTAAAAAAAAATAATATTCACTTATATCACCAAATTGAAAAACAAATAAAAAAATAACCACATTATACTTTTATAAAACACTATTATTCAAGGCTATAATATGAAGACACAAAAATGTCTGCAAGCATAGATTCAAACAGAAAAATTCAACAAAGTCAAACATTATACAAATCTAACAATTTTTCTTTTGTAAAAGCCTTTAAAAGTTGAAAAGTATGTTTTCAATTTTTCTTTTACTTTTCTTTCTTATTTTTAATCCAAATATTACGTGTCATGTGATATATTATTAGAATATCACGTGACTTTTTATAAATAAAGAACGAAATGGATAACATACTTCATGAAAAAAATAAAGGTCGAAATTAAATAAAAAAAATCTTTAAATACAAAAGTGATAATGATGTAAATTTTATAAAACTAAAATATTATATAAATCTTTTAACTTTTATTTTTTAAAATGAAGAATAATTTAATACATTGTAAATGAAAAAAAAAATATCAAACAACGGTAGAATTATGACAAATGTCCTAATAAATTTAAGAACTACAATGGTTATAAGTAACATCATATTTATAGGTAATTTGTTTTCTTTTCTATAAAATTCTTTGAGTTTATTTTTTCTAAAATTTTCTAAATTTTAAATTAATCGGACTATTGTGGGCTTCGCGGGCTACCCGCGGTTATACCCATTAAACCCGCGGGTTTAACGGTCCGGGCTAAAAAGCCCGCAATTTAAACGAGCTTCAATTTTTTATGTCTAAAACCCGTACGGGCCGTGGATTAAACGGGTAGCCAGCGGGCCTTAGCCCATATACCCACCTCTACTTCAAAGTATTATCAGAAAGCTCAGTGGCCAATTCAGGTTTAACAAAAGCATGATCTTAATCGCAAATCTATTTATCATATGAAAACTAAGAAAAGGTATTTTAGCACATTAACGAACTTAAGATATTTTTTACACTAGTTCGGTTATTTGCAGCACACATGTCCTTATGCTGGTTAGTATGGACATATTTAAGTCAGTTTCCATTACATTCCCAATAAGGTTCAATACAAATGTTACCTAATTGAAGGGCCGAGTTTCGGTACAATATGCCCTTTCTAACACTCCTTCAGCATGAAGGACGTGGATTACACCTAGAGCAGTACCATATCCAGCTGTTGCAAACTGCAAGATACAGTAAATAACAGTTAGAAAACCATCATATGGCAATTTAGTGTCCATGTATATGAACTACAATGGCTTCTTTACCTTTAGACATTAGTACAATAAAAGAAACAGCAGGGAGATGACTAACAAACCTTCCAGTGTTCCAGTGGGTTAAAACCGAAAATCTCTTCGAATTAATTTATTGCTGCAGGAGAAAACTAGCGCCATGAGCCCCAATTGCTTTGTTTGTAGCAACATCTTCATCAAGCATGATTTCAGCAGCTTCTATATAAGCCTATAAAGATGGAGAAAAGCTAAACATATAGCAAGAACGAAATAAGACGTGCTTAAAAAATCCAAAAACAAATCCAAATCGATACAAGTCAATAAACATGAAAACTGACCAGGAAAACATTCTCAGGCACTGTAGCGGTACAAGCAGCCTTCGATATAGTGTCCTTAAGCTTTATAGCAGCATCAGAAAGATTCACTGCCGTTGGTCGGCTGAATAAAGGACATAAAAAGACAATAAAGTATCAGCCATACCTCGAAAACAGAAGGGAGAAACTAATTTCAATCTATAAAAACAGGCAAAATATATTGCTCTCACACATTTTTCAAACCTCGGCACGAAGATTTGACACTCCAAGTATCAAATACATAAAAAAATATTTGAAAAATCGAATATATACATGTCGGACATGTGCTCATATCCAATACCTATTTGAAAAATGAACATATCCGTGTTGAACATGTGATCATATTCAACATCATACTTGAATCCACAGTGATATGTGTCATAACTATTTTTTTAAGGTAAAATAATTGTTTATTGTTTAAAAACAGTTATAACTTAAATTTTGAAAAATATGAGTGATTTTGGATTAATTGAATGAAAATGGATAAGAGTCGCCTGTTGGATTAGGTAGGTCGAATACCTAAAAACGTCTTTTAAAAAAAATTAAGAAAACCCATTTTTAAGACAAAAAACTGGTCTACGTTTACAAAGATTCGATTAAAATAGGTTCGGGAGTCGGTTACGCGTGGTGAAGGATTAGCACCCCCACAACGCCCAAAATTGGTACTGTATCGCTTACACGTTGTTGTAATGGTGAAATTTATGAATCGAATATAAAGTTAATTTATGATCCATTTATCAAACATTTATTAATTTACTTCGAATTAACTTGTTAAAGAAAATCCTTTAACTTGATAAAAAATCTTGAAATTTGTAATCCTCTATCGAGAAAGTTATTTTAACCATTTTCCATTGTTAAAGAATATTTAATCGTCTAATATGTAAAAGATGCATATCAAAGATAAATTGCAAATTGACAGTTGCGAAAAATTAAATACAACTTGCATTGTTCGGTGTAAAATAAAAATGAATTAAAAATTAATAAACTAAAATTGATTTATTTCAAGTTTCATTTTGTTCGAACGTCGTGTCGAATGTATCACTTCGATCAAGTGATACTTTCTCTGCCCGTTCTACAAATACAAGTTTTTGAAAATATTCGAATAAAGGACACTAAAATGAATATATAATTGCGTAATTATTAATCAAACAGTTTTAAAAGTAAACATATCTTCATATATGTAATATTTATACATAAAAAATACATTAAATAGAAATCAATACATAAATATAATATGCACACACATATATATATATTCACAACAACATATATACTACGACACAATACAATTATGAGTAAAGTTCTAAAACAGTAAAACAACAAGGACTATGAACATAAAATAAATACTTAACCTTAAACAACAAATTATAGATAAGAATAAACATACGAATTATATTAAATTTAAGGTCTCAAAACATAAATCACCCAATTTATACTGACTAATACGAATGGCCAAAATGAACATTATATAAAATCATCAGTCAAAAAATACAAATACTTAAACGAGCAGCCATACAGGACCAAAATAAAACATTCACAAACATAGTGACCAGAATCTAACACCAGCAAAATGACAAACAACAATCTATTAACTTAATATGGAGGATCAAACTAATAAAACCCATAAGCATGCAGGACTAAAATTGAAGAAAATAAATGCCATGACTCTAATAAAATAAATAAACTGTATAACAAGTGACTAAAATGGAATATATACAAATCCCAAAACCAAATTAGAAAATCAATAAAAATAGAAATCTCACTAACTTAGTGACTAAAGTGAAATAAATAGCAAATACCATGACTAAATTTTAACATTAATAATAATGACAAAACAAACACAGGACTAAATTACAAATAGTGAAATTAAAGCTCGAAATAAAATAAATATAATTTTATTTAATGACTAAACCGTACATTTACAAAGAAGAAGGGATCAAAAGTGTCATTTATTCTTAACATGAAAATACGCAGAAGCCCCCCAACCATACGACGTCGTTTTGCATGAATAATATAAGCCCAAAATGAGGCTTAATTCACTCATTTCCCTCATTTGTTTATTTTCAAATAAACGAAGAGAGAGAGAGAGTTCTCTGAAACTTTCTCAACTCTCTCCAACGAAGAGAGGGAAGCCACGGTAGCCGGACGCTCTAACGACGGGGCCAACGGAGGAACCATGGCGATACACGGCGGGGTACAGCTCCCGGAGGAGACCAAAAGGCTCCAAAGATTCCTCTCTTCTCACTCAACTCGAATCTCACTTTAGTTTAACCTAAAACCCCTCTTAGATCCGTAGATCTAAGTTTTATCTCTGGGGTATTTTAAAAACTGGCGACGTGGGCTTATCGGTTTCAAAAGGAGGTAAGATCTCTTTCCCCTCAAATATTTTTGTTTTATTTTTCTTTTCTTTGTTCGAATCTTCCTCTCAATATTCTCTGTGTTCTCTTTTTTTCTGATTCGAATCGGTTCCCCCTTTTCTGATTACTCGTTCCTTTCTTTATGGCTGCCATCCTCACCGAATCCCCTTGTCCCTTTCCTTTTTCTTCTTGCTTTTGGGTAAGATGATGGGTTTAGGTGTATGGAAGAGTAGATTGAATCCCATAATTTTCGGGATTTCTTTTTTATTTCAATGGTTTAGGTGAAATCCATTTTGACATTGGTGAATGCAACTTGATGGAATCGGTTGAGGTAGCCCGATTGGTGCTTGCTGACATTTGATGTAGCATGAGGAGGCACAGTTGGCATATAATATAATGAATTTTGAGACCATTGTGCATGCATGAAGGATGAAGGTTGGCTGCTTGTCTTTCCTGCAAAAGCAATAATAATATTAATAATCATAATAATAATAATTAATAATAATATTTAAGCCCGACAAAACGATTGTCTACCCTATGCACTTTTGCATATAGTAAGTGACTAAAATCTAACCAAGACCGGAGATAACAAAAGTAAAATATAAACCTTGTGACAATATTCTAATTTGGTTTCGAGGAAAGAAGCAGCATCCTTAGATGTCCCCTTAAAGTCCATTAAGTTGGCAATTTCAACCGCCAGTGAAAGGGCAGCCGCTGTGGCCATAGCAGGCGCCCCTCGAACCACCATATCTCGAATTGCGTTCCTAAAAACCATCAAATAGTTTATTCAAATTGAGATCTTTAATCCCAATGAAATTCAAAAAAACAGAATCCAGAGGAAGAACTGAACTAATCCATTATCATCCATCAATTGAACCTTGAATATCTAAGTACACGGTTTCCAAAGGGAGTTTTATCTGTTCAAGTTCAACAACTCATAACAGTTAAGTAAATTAAAAAGAAACCCAGACCATAAAGCTCCTTATAATAAGGTATCGAAATTCGAAACAATCAAAACTGAAAGATCTTCAGCTTTAAACCTAAAGAAGAAAAAAAAGGAATGAAAAACTATACCTGGTCAAGCAACTGAAGGGAACCACGTTTGTAGCAGATAGCTTGGAGAGTGTTGTCGACTGCAGTTCCGTCAATCGATTTAGAATCAGGCGCCATTGATTGAAAATTTCCTGAAACGGGAATATTTAATGAATTCTGGGGTTTATGAAATGAACGGGATGAGGCTGCCTTTTCAGCTTTTTACTGCTACTGTGTTTTGTTACTGGCGGCTGCTCCACGCCTACTTTATATATTATTTGCATATAAAGCTCCTGCCTTTGCGATCCTTTTTCAATTAAAATTGCCATTTAAGAAATTGTGAAAAGTCAACAAATTATTAACGTTAATTATCTCATCAAAACATATATTAAACTGTAGCAAAATTTAAACTAAGACTCTTAAATTGATAAGATTACTTTTTAACGCATACAAATTTACGATTTTTTTAAATTGATTCGGTTACATTTTAGCGCATACGAACTCACTATTTTTTTAAAAGAACTCAACTAAGACTCTTAATAATGACTAAAGTTGTTGTAATTAGTTCTTTTTAACAATTCCTAGAGAGAAGGGGAATTTTGCTCCTAATATATAATAGACTCACAATCCATAGGACCATAGGAGAGAAGAAGTGTCAACTAGAGCTTTTAATCATCTACTCTAAAAAATCGTTAACAGTTCAACTAAATAAATGAGGATGGACAAAATTTTTATGTTCATTAAATAAACGAACAAACACAAACTTATGTGTGTTCAGTTCATTTATGTTCACAAACAAATTTATTTATCGAGTCGCTTTATAAGCTTGTTTATTCTATTCCCTTTTTTCCTTTTTTTTTATATTTTAAATATTGATGAATGTAGGGACTAAATTAAATATAAGGTAAATTTTAGAATTCAACTATGAAGTCTAAAAATTTTAAGACTAATGATATAATTTTATCATTTTTTGGCAGTCAAATAAAAAGGCAAAAAGAGGGAGTTGGTTGTCAAATATTAACCGGACGTTAAACAAATAATAAGCATCTTCAAAAATAACTAAACGAACACGAACAAACTTTGCTCGTTCCTAGCTTGATTCTAACACTTGTCTTCAACACCTATAAGCAAATCATTTTTGAGTTTGTATACCACTCTCCCCAATCCTCAACAATCCCCTCCAACATGGAGTGTTCTTGCTACAAGAGAAATTTATCATTAAATTCACTTGCTGGATAACGTAAATTACAGACTGTTTCCTGTAACGTGAACATGTCTGAAGTTTTACTTGAACTACCGATTCCTTGATAATTTTCATGATTACGACCAAAGGGACTTGTTCTTTATTTATATTTTCCCGGGAAGTCAGCAGAGTAGTCTAAAATTTGTAAATTTTTATATATTTTATAAAATTTATATATTTAAAGATATATCATTTTCCTAACATTATTTTATAAAATTTACATATTATATACGCTATATTTATCTAAAATCGAGTTACGAATCCGAATTATTTATTGTCAGTGTCGATATATTAAATTTAAAATACAAACACTCGGGTAAGAGCCGAAAAAGCTAGACTCTTGTCGCTTTTATAATAAAAGGTCAAAGTTGTTGAAATTTTCCTCCAAATTTGATTGAAAAACAAGACAAAATCCCTGTGTGGAAGCAACGAGCAGCCATATAAACAGTAACGGGTAAGGCATTATTATTGATCTAATTTCCAATGTTTGATGTTACAGTCCAAACTTTGTCTTTTTACTCATCACTGTCCCTTGAATCCATGGTTAAGTTTTGGCCTGATATTTTGTACCATTTAATCTCACAATTTTTTTAGGTTACGATGGGAAGGTAAAAGAGTGAGACTAGTTGACGGTGAAACCTTTAGGGAAGGCCATGCGACCGGCGTTTAAAAATGAGTGGAAAAAGAAAGGCGAAAACGAAATGTGATAAATTCTTTGGTGAAAGATTATTTATATTTACCGCCAAATCTTTTAGTTTTGTACTATTATAAATTTCTACTTAAAAAAGTATTTATTAGCTTATAATATTTAAACTATATTTTTATACTAAGAATAAGTAATAATTATTTGAATTTGAGTTTACTATTAGAGAATCTCATTTGTGTTCTATCCAATATAAATGAATTCGATTATATAATGTTCTAAAAAAGTATCTAAATATTTGATTGAAAGCTGTTGTTATATGCAAACTCTACAAACGAAAGGCATTCCTCCCGATTTCCCTCGAAATCAATGACAACACTGAAAAATGTTCTTTAAAGTTGAAATTGTCTTTTTTAATTATCTATTTTTTTATGAATGAAAAAGACGTGTTAGAGAGCATACAGGTGTCTTTTAGAACTTTCATTGAATTTTCATAATAAATTTGAAGATTTTTATCAGAAACGATTGAAGTAGACGTATCATGAAATTGTACCATCTTACTAACATAGAACTTAATCTACCTTTCAAGCGTTTCAACAGAAAACATGTGATTTTTGTTAGTCTATCGACAATTATAGAAATTGTACTATCTTACTACAAAATACGAATTAACCAAATATTTTTTTTTTTAAAAAAAGCGTGTTTAGTCTTAACTTATCCGTTAAATATATTATAATTATATATTTAGATACATCTTCCCTTTATATATTGCTATCAATACAGTTGGAATAACTCTATGGGGTAATCGATAAATTAAGAAATTTTAAAAAGTATTATCTTATAATCATTCAAAATAAAATATTATTTTTCTTAGAAAAAAAAACTCTATGTGCATGGTGTGATCCATCCATTTTCCCCATGTAAAGTAAGTAATCCCTTTACGTGAAATTACACCTATGACTTATCTTCGTAAGATAATTCACATGCTAGTCCATCTTCATAAGATTTTTTTGTTATTATTAAAATCTATATTCTTATATCGATAACCAACAGAATTTTTCAACAATTTTAATGAACTGTTTCTTTATTAAATGTAAAAATTCAAATTAGAAGACCAACAATAGAACAATAATAAGAAAGTGAAAATAAAATAGGATAATAAAGCAATGGACTTATTAAACCTCTTAGGTATACATAGTATAATATTCGAATTATACAAATTATAATACAATCATTATACGAACGAGCACCAAAGGATGATTGTACAAAAATCGAGCCCTGCCCCAATGCTCTATTATTAAACTGCCCAGGTTAAGCTCACATGTTCTAGAAATTCCAAAGAAAAGATTCTGAAACTAAAATCCCATCAGCATCATCCTCTTCACCACTGATGTTGGCCGCCGATGAACCAACAACGTCGCCTGTGAGATCATAAAATTCAGGGAATATCTTATAATCCAAATTGTAATCATTCGAATTCATCGTCAAAACATCTTTAAACGATTCGACCATAGGTAACTCACACTCCAATTGCACTCTCTTATCAGCATGATCTTCTTCACCATTCATGTTGGCCACCGATGACCCAACAACGTGATCATCAAATGTGGGGAATATCTCGTAATTCAAATCGTACTCGCTCGAATTCATCGTCAAAGCATCTTCGAACGATCCGACCATAGATAACCCACACTCTAATGGTACTCTCGCATCCGAAACTGACAGCGTCTCGGTTCCGCTGGTGGGCTTGGAGTGCTCAGAATGGGTCGTTGGAGTTGGAGGCTCCGAATTCGCAAACTGAACAGCAGCAACTTGAATTTCAGAAGGGGTTAAAGACCTACCGCGAGCGATATTCGGGGGGGTATCGGGAAAGTTGAACTTCGCCGAATGACCACGTAAGCAAGAAGCAGCAGCGTCAAAAGCACGCGCCGCTTTCTCGGCGGTATCGTAAGACCCCAACCAAATCCTTTCGCGACTGTTGGGTAGTCTGATTTCGGACACCCATTTTCCCCATTTCCTTTTCCGAACACCCTTAAACTGTGCATCGGATCTCTCAGAGGCTGGTTTTTCAGTTACGAGTTTCACCATTGTTCTGTTAATGAGGAGTTGTTGGCGGCGAGTACGAGGGGGACTTTGCGAATCCGTTATTATACTTGCAGTTATGTTGTGGGGATTAGAGAGAGTATCGGAGTGAGAGTGACAGTTTACGGATTAAAAAAGTGTGGTTTGGAGAAGCCGCAAAGGGAAAAATCAGCCAAAACTTGTCCGCTTTTTTTATGACCTTTCTTCCCATGCTACGTGGGAAGGGTTCCTCCACGTGGATTTTTCTTTTATTTCTCAAAGACATTCACAATTGATTACATTACAACAATAGTAATTATTTTTTTCTCTTATTCATATTTTTCGTCAATTTATCTTTTTTACTAAAACATCACTAACATTAAATTTTTTTTATCAAGAGAGGATACTCAAACATAGCCCTCCTGCATAAAGGTCTAACGCATCGTCCTGAATTAGAATAGAACTTTATTAAATGTTTATCTCCGTAACTTAAAAATTACGTCAAGATATAACTTAAATTGATTAAATTGATAATTCATACAAAATGGGTCTAATACTTCACCATATAACCGAAATAAAAGTATGATTAAAATTGAGTGTATATGATGTTGTGATGTGTTATCTGTATATGATTGTGTCATGTGTCGTTGTTATAATAGTCAAATAAAAATATTAAAAATAACATGTTAACTTCTAATGAGAGAAAATAATGTGAATATTTTTTAAGAAATTATTATGTTAGTTTCATGTCATCATAATTTTTAATGGACAAAGACAAATAATGTTATTTGTTTTTACCGAAAAATGATTTGATGATTAAAATAAAAAATGTTTTTTAATAGTGATTTAAACACAACCAAGTGTTATTGTACAAAAATATCGGGTAGGCTGGCCCCCACCTACTGTGGTTTGGTCCCGGCCTATGCTAGTAAAGGAATAAAACAAATGCCATTTTTTTATGAAGTCAAAATTTTAATAATTGTATGTTTCCACAAATAAAATATTCTGTTTAAATTCAATTGCGAACGGAATAAATTATGTGTGTTGTAAAATAATAAATGGTAAATTAGAGGATTGATCACTGTCGTTTAGGTTTTGTATACTTCTCTTTATTGAATTTAAAAAATATAATATTTGGTCATTTTTGTTTTTATTTAACTAAGACGTGATCACTGACAATTAACTGTCGTTAGAACTTTAATAGATTATTAACGTAACACGCTGAATTTAAAAAGTATATATAAATAAATTGGGAAATTTTGGGGAAAAATAGAAACTTTTTTTAATAAATTAGATACAAAATCATTGTTTAATGATTTTTTTGATGTTTTATTAACCATTTTGTTACTTTTGAAATTTTAGTAGGGAAAACAAATACATACTCAGACACTAGTCACCATTTGTGTAGTTTACCCTTTTTAATTTTATAAATTTATTGCGCCACGTCAACAATCCATTAAAAATCTAATGACAGTTAATTCTTAGTGACCAAATATTAATTAAATAAAAATAAAAGTGACCAAATATTATATTTTTTAAATCCAGTGAGAAAAAATGTAAAAAACTTAATCGAAAGTTATCAATCTTATAGTTTACCCAATAGTTTGTAGTGATTGCAATATATTATTTGATAATAATATTTCTTAATCATTGACAACTCACACACCCTTCATACATAACTATTTGAACCCATGACCTTAAGGGGGTGTTTGGATGGGGAATGTGGAATTTTCATGGAAATGGAATCCACATTCCCCCGTTTGGTTAATCCAGAATCTCATTCCCGGTAATGTAAGATTATCAATAGTGGATTTTTTGGGGTATATTATCGGGAATGTCATTATCTCCCTTTCTTTAGGTATTGTTGGATTATCAGCATTTTGGACTAAAATGCCCTTAATTTTTTTTTCTTTCAAAAATATATTTCTTCTGTCATTGAATAATAAAAATTCTACGAAGGTTAAATTACAAATTTATCCTTAAACTATTTTAGATTTACAAAAAAAGACTAATTAAAATTTTATATGAAGTTCAGGGGTTAAAATAAAATTTTACCCTTTCATTAAACCATTTATATTTTCAATTTTATAAAAAAAATTATATAAATTTTGAATTTAAATTTTTTAAAGAAAATATATAAATATTTTTCAACTTGTTAAAAAAACAAATATACAATAAGGACAATTTGGTCAAATATACATTCCAATAATCTTTTATTTCTTTAACCAAACACGGTAATCTTACATTCATGCTAAGCCAACCAAACACAAAATACAACATTCACAGTAATCATATTCCCTAGTAATCTTACATTCCGTGAACCAAACGCACCTTAAGGGAGAACAATATTTTCTTTAACTATTGAAGACAGACAATAAATTCATTTATTTTTTATTATTATATTGATTGATCCATTATAATATTAGAGATAGTCTGAGGCAATCTTTATAATAGATGAATTGCATTGATATTTTAAGAGTTAAGGGACTAAATTGATGAAATTCCTAAAATAGAGGGGTCTATATGTATTCTCACCCTTAAATAACTAGTGTGGTTCTTTTTGACAAGAGTCCTTGATTTTTTTTCCATATTAATCCCTGAAATTTGAATTATGTAACATAAGTTACGATTTTATTTTAATATTGTAGTAATGCCAAAAGAGGTGATGTACCATCTTGAGATTATGTTACATCTTCTAAAAATTTTAAAAATAAATAAAAAATCATTAATAGTTTATATTTAAGATATTTATAAAAATGATCAAATATTGGTTTTTTTATTAGTCTTCGTTAGTCTATTTTCTTCTTCATATTTATAGTTGGCAGTGGCGTCAGTCTTGATGTTGATAGTCGACCGTCAATATTCATTATTTTTCCTTTACTTTATTATAGTGTATCTTTATTTTTTTTCTTTCTTATTTTTTTATTTATATTAATTCTGTCATTATGACACATCTTTTTCCGTTTTTATGATACATTTTTCTTTGCCTTGATGACATATTTTCATTCGTTTGACCGTTATTTTTCGTTATCATTTTCTTTAGGGTTGGGTTTAACATCATCACGACTGATTAAGATGATACTTATTTGTTATCATGTTGATCTTCTCTGTTTTGGACTATCAAATTAGATTAGTTACACGATTTGTGTTTATGAATAGTATTTCACGTTGTTTGATTATGATTTGCAGTTTATCGGTGGCTTTCAATAGTTTATCTTTTTTGGTTTGTTTACTGATGCGGCTAGACTTGTTCATATCTACCTTTTGTTCGAGTTTATTTGGTTATGTTTTTAACTTTTTATTTGTATGATATTTATATGATCTTAAGTGACTAGCTTTCTTGTGTGTATGAAAATATTTTTATTATACGTTTAGCTTATGAACGTGGTTGCAAACCTTCGTTGTAATTTGAATATTTTTTATTTTTAATAAAATTAACGGTTTGTATAAAAATGTTTATAAAAATTATTGAAATGAAAATCGATAAAAAAATATTAATGTTGACAAAATAAACAAATACTAATACTAATCTGTCCTTACTAATCTGTCATAATGAAAATAGTAAGGAATCTTTTTTAATTATATATTTTTTAGTATTCATGATCAATCTTTTCTTTTTCATTACAATTTTTTATGTTAATTGCAATGATTTATGGATAGTGATTGAAAATGAAATGTGTAATAATTCTTAGGTTAGACCAAGACGATTTCAGTTTACGACCAAATCTTTCAGTTTGTCTTTTAGTTTGTGTAAAATAAGCATTCACTCCTTATTTGTTAACCTCTCTTGATTTGGAACTTCAATTTTAATTTTACTCCAAAAGGAAAATTCATGCCAAAGTTTATATTTAAGCTCATTTTTCTTCAAATCTTCTATCCAAGTCGTAAAAGTCCAATTTTTAAGATTAAGCGTTCAATTAATAAAATCAGGAGGAAATATCACAATATAAAGACAAATTACACTACGGTAATTTCAAACATATACATATCGTGTTCTTCAATTAATGAAAATTTTAAATGGATACAGACCCTTTTTTATTTGAATTTTTATATAAATATAAAAACATATAAAATATATGAATATAAATTTGATATAATTTTATATGCGATATTTTTTTTTTTTTTTAAAGTCTAAGGTGGTTATAAGATAATATGTTTACAACTTCACTAATTAATTGACAATGCGCATACATTCTATATGTCGTTGCTCAAATCCAAAACCTTCAAAGAAAAAGCATTTACTTTTATTACTGAGACCACTCGATGAGATGTTGTAATATAATTTTTACAATGCACTAATAATATTATTGATATAACAATTTGAATGTATTTATTAATAAAAATATCTGTACATCTCTTTTGAATTTGAAAAAAACATACTTTTAAGGATTTTGAATCCTAACATCGATACTTTTCATCAATTTTATATCATTTTGATTGCTACGATAACAAATACAATTTCATTTTCTGATACATTGTGTTCTCATCATAATTTTTGAAAAAAAATCAATAAGTTTAATTTGTAATGTTTATAAAAGTATAAATTTCATGTTAAATATTTTAGAATTAATTTCATAACTTCTGAAGAGTTTATTTATCATTATGTGAATAAAAATTATGTAAAATTAACAAACAAAATATTGAGTGAAATTAATATCTTGTCTGAATTTCCCCAAACATTGGTCTAAAATACGATCAATTGTCCTTAATTCCTCCAAAATTTGGTCTAAAGTTTCGCCAAACTTTGGTGGTGGTTGGTTGAAAAACATGACAAATTGCCGGTGTGGAAGCAGCTTTTGAAACAGTAATGGATAGAGACACTCGTATCCCTCAAATTTCTAGAGTCGGCAAATTTGATGTTACACTAAACTGGTCCTTTAACCCTCTAAGGTGTCAAATCCATGGTTTGGTTGTTGCAGATATTTTGGACGATTGAGTCCCGCAATTTTTCAAACTTTTCAACTCCATTCTCTTAAAATTACTAATAATTTCAAACCATAAGATTTCCCCCATTATCCTTGGTGTTA